CCTGAAGCAAGACATTTTGATATGACTATTTTATTCAATCTGGTCAAAATACTAAAACATTATTTAGTTCTTTTAAAATTTGATTGAAAACTTAAAAACCATGGTTTAGGCTTCAGCATAATGTCTCTTTGGTGACTTCTTTGCCTGTTCCATAAATCTTCTGTGAAAATATTCATGCATCAGATGTTTTTGTTGATTCAGCTTGTCTTTATTTGCTAGGCTTATATATGGGTCTATTAGCTGGATGTGGTGGCAGGTGCTTATAATCCCAGCTATTCATTCAGGTGGCTGAGGTGGGAGGGTAGCTTGAATCCAGGAGTTTGAGGGTTGCAGTGAGCTATGATTGAGCCACTGTATTCCAGCCTGAGTGACAGAGCAAGATCCTTTCTCAAAAAACAAAAAAACGAAAACTTAAGAAAACAAGAGTTCAAGCAATGGTGTATAGAGAATGACGTATGTAGTCTTACGAATTTTCATATTATCTTATCATTTGAAGAGTTCTTTTTTTTTTTTTTTTTGAGTCAGAATTTTGCTGTTGCCCAGGCTGAAGTGCAGTGGTATAATCTCAGCTCACTGCAGTCTTCACCTCTGGGGTTCAGGTGATTCTCCTGCCTCAGCCTCCCAAGTAGCTAGGATTACAGGAGTGTGCCACCATGCCTGGCTAATTTTTGAAGAGCTCTTGATCATTACTCATTAAATGGAAATTTATCCTAGGGAAATAATCTGATGTATAGAAGAATGAAATGCCCAAGCATATTCATCCCTGTGATTTTGTAGCAGTAAAGACTTTAAAACAACATAATGTTAAAACAAAGCTGGGGGTGGTGGGGAGATAGTTAAGATAGGTTACTGTCTATCCAGAGACTGGAATTATTTAAATACCTCAAAAAATTTATCATGAGCTTTTTTTTTTTTTTTTTTTTAAAGACGGGGTTTCACCATGTTGGTCAGGCTGGTCCTGAACTCCTGACCTCAGGTGATCCGCCTGCCTTGGCCTCCAAGGTGCTTGGATTACAGGCGTGAGCCACTACGCCCGGCCTATAATGAGCTTTTAGTGACACAAGAAAATAGATACTTTTAGTGAAATAAAGGTGAGAATGTCAGACTTAGGCTTCTATTAATGTTAGATTAGGTTGTTTTGAACCAGATATACTGCTAACAACTAGAAAAGCTAGAAGACATAGAATTGTTATCAAGACACTGAGAAGTTATGCCAAGTTTGGGATGTTGAGAAGAGCTGTGAGAAATTTATTTTCATGTAATTTGTAAGGGATCTAGTTTTATTTTTTTCCATATGGATAACAAATTTTTCAATACTTTTTTTCTTGTGTTGTTGATTTGTAATGCCACCTCTGATACTGAATTTCCTTATGTGCATGTGTGAGTCTGTTTCTGGACTTTCTGTTCCACTAGTTTGTCTTTTCTGGACACAGACATGTAAATAGAAAGCACAAACAAGATAGAATAAATCCAAATTTATTTGTATGACAAACACAAAATGGGCTGAACTTACCAGTTAGAAAATGATTGATACCTTGAATTTTTATTTTAATTTTTTAATTTTTTAATTTTTTTTTTAAAGACGGGGTTTCACCATGTTGGTCAGGCTGGTCTTGAAATCCTGACCTCAGATGATCCGCCCGCCTTGGCCTCCAAAGCGCTTGGATTACAGGCATGAGCCACCATGCCAGGCCTACCTGGAATTTTTAAAATGTATCTGTATGATCTTTAAAAGAAATACTTAAAACATAAGAACTCAGAAAAGTTGAAAGTAGAAGATGGGGTAAAGGATTATCAGGCAAATTCTGAGAGTCCAAACGCAGGACTCACAGCTCCATGCTGTGCTTAGTCCAAAGCCTCTCTGTTCTTGTCCCTCAAGTGATTGTTAAAACCCAAGCCCCTAGAATACAGAAATTTACCTCCCAGGGCAGTCATGTCTTTTATTCCTGCCCCTGGGAATTTTCTTTAGTCTATTATAGGGGTAAGGCTGCACAGTGGCTCATGTCTGTAATCCCTGTGTTTTGGGAGGCTGAGGCAAGCAGGTGGCTTGTTTGAGCTTGGGAGTTTGGGACTAGCCTGGGCAGAACGCCTCTACAGAAACACCAATTAGCTGTGTGTGGCGATGCAGAGGTGTAGTCCCAGCTACTCAGGAGGCTGAAGTGGGATGATCACCTGTGCTTGCCGGGTTGAGGCTGCACTGAGCCATGATTGCTCCACTGCACTCCAGCCCCCTGGGCAACAGAATGAGACCCTGTCTCAAAAAAAATAAAAATAAAAATAATATTGTGGGGATTAGCAGTATATTTAAAAGTAATTTGCCATATTTCATCTAGCATGTTTTAGGCATTTATGTGGATGTTTTCCCCCAGTTGTTTGGTCTGTGTGTTATCTGCAACGTTAGTCTCTCAGAGGATTTTAAAAACGCATTCTTCTAGGGGTCCACTAAAAATTTTAAAATGATTGTGAACAATGGGGTTATGGATCTATTTCTTATATTCTCGTGTATTTTTCATATTTTGCAAAAAGTTCATACTTTATAACTTTGTTAAAATGAGAAAAGGGAGGGTCCTTAACATTCTCCCAAGTAATAGCCCTTCTTTTTCATTTGTTGCAGGTGGTACGGTTGTGTCAGAACCCAAAGCTGGCGCTAAAGAATAGCCCACCTTATATCTTAGACCTGCTACCAGATACCTACCAGCATCTCCGTACTATCTTGTCAAGATATGAGGGGAAGATGGAGACACTTGGAGAAAACGAGTATTTTAGGGTGTTCATGGAGAATTTGATGAAGAAAACTAAGCAAACCATAAGCCTCTTCAAGGAGGGAAAAGAAAGAATGTATGAGGAGAATTCTCAGCCTAGGTAATGGAGAAATACTACACAAATATTAATGCAGGTCTGTGACTGCCTGAATGGGTAACACATAGAAGTAGTTGAGTTGGTTTTAATTTTATGTTAGTAGGAACGGAAAGTTGACATTTGATTTAAAGATGTTGTTTATATAAAACGTTGTCATGGAGGATATTGTACTATCCCTAACCCTGATTGATTTGTTTACTTCTGAAAAGTCTTTTACTGAGTGTAATGAAAATGAGTTGCAGGCAGTGGATCCTTTGGAGACCCTGAAGATCATGAAAGTTTGTGGATACGTGAGAGTTTGGAAGAAAGAAGGTTGGGGTTAAGTGGAGTTTGGGCGCAAATAAGCAGATCTTGCCAAAAGCTTTAGTGTATTAGGTAAATTTATGTGTGGGATAACAGGGAAAAAAGCCACTAGTTTACCTTTTTAAAAAATGAAGCAAAGTGAAATGACATTTCCTTTATAGGTAAAAGTAACTTTTAAAATAAAATAGGCAGAGGTGAATGCAGTTAAGTCAATAAATATTTGAAGGATCACTGTATATTCTTTTTTTTTTTTTGAGGCGGGAGTCTTGCTCTGGCACCCAGGCTGGAGTGCAGTGGCATGATCTCGACTCACTGCAACCTCCACCTTCCGGGTTCAAGTGATCCTCCTGTCTCAGCCTCCTGAGTAGCTGGGATTACAGGGGTACGCCACTACGCCCGGCTAATTTTTGTAGTTTTAGTAGAGACGGATTTCACCATGTTGGTCAGTCTGGTCTCAAACTCCTAACCTTGTGATCCACCCACCTTGACCTCCTAAAGTGCTGGGATTACAGGTGTGAGCCACCATGCCTAGCCATTATGTATTCTTTTGTATTAATTTTATTATTATGTTTGAGACTGAGTCTCACTCAGCTGCCCAGGCTGTAGTGCAGTGGTGTAATCTTGGCTTACTGCAGCCACCGTCTCCCGGGTTCAAGCGATTCTCCTGTCTCAGCTTCCCGAATAGCTGGGATTATAGGCACTTGCCATCATGCCCGACTAATTTTTGCATTTTAGTAGAGACGGGGTTTCACCATGTTGGCCAGGCTGGTCTAAACTGTACGCTATTCTGGATGTTGTTTGCTTGGCTGCCGTAAATTACATACTGGGAGAGAAATAAGTTAACTGTATGTGTGGATGTAATTATGTTTGATTTGGTTCAATTGGAACTAAATATTAACTCATCTAGAATGAGTAATAAAGTAAAAATTTCACTAGTATTTTTTAGTGAGTAAATTATTCTTGAGGAGTGACTTGAATTAGAAGGAACAGTATTTCTGAAGACATCAGATTACCATGCATGACTCTAGCAGTAACATACTAAATGGTGTCCTTGTTGTGTACCTTTCTTTTGGGCCGTTTGGCCTAGATTCTGGCCACCATAGCTCTCAGTTAAAATTTTATCCTCATGATTTTCCATATTATCATTATTGCAACAAATTACTCAGGTATAGTCTGAGTAATGGACTGGATGTCTGTCTTTTCTTCTTCTTTTTCTTTTCAAGATGGAGTTTTGCTCTTGCTGCCCAGGCTGGAGTGCAGTGGTGCAATCTTGGCTCTCCATAACCTGAGCCTCTGAGGTTCAATCCATTCTCCTACCTCAGTCTTCTGAGTAGCTGGGATTACAGACATGCACCACCAGGCCCAACTAATTTTTGTATTTTTAGTAGAGATGGAGTTTGGCCGTGTTGGCCAAGCTGGTCTCAAACTCCTGACCTCAGGCGATCCGCCTGCCTCAGTGCTCCAAAGTGCTGAGATTATAAGCATGAGCCACTGCGCTGGCCTGTCTTTTCTTAAAAAGATTCCGTTGAGTGAATTCAACCTGTAGGAACCTTTGTAACTTCCAGTTTATCTGGAAGTGAGCTTTATTTCTTTTAACTATTCAAAGTTCGTAACTTTTCTTAAAATCACGACTGTATGGACATTTTAGCTAGCCATTTTGTATTGCTGAGTTTCTAAAAAATAATTTTTTATTTTATTATTATTATTGTGAGACGGAGTCTCACTCTGTCACCCAGAATGGAGTACAGTGGTGTGATCTTGGCCCACTGCAACCTTCACCTCCAGGGTTCAAGTGATTCTCCTGCCTCAGCCTCCCAAGTAGGTAGGATTACAGGTGTCTCCCACCACAGCTGGCTAATTTTTTTTTTTTTTTTTTGTATTTTTAGTAGAGACAGGGTTTCACTATGTTGGCCAGGCTGGTCTTGAACTCCTAATCTCAAGTGATCTGCCCACCTTGGCCTCCCAAAGTGCTAGGATTACAGGTGTGAGCCACTGTGCCTGGCCTCTAAAAAATTATTTTAATTTATTAGGTACCAAAACTTAAAAATTTTATCTACCGTGTACTGTGAACTAGGTTCTGGTTGTAGGAGGTGAAGAGGAAAGTTAAGCATTCAAATTTGATGTAATATGACAAATGCATTAATAGAGGTATGTACAAAATGCTGTTGGGAGCCGGGCACAGTGACATGCACCTGTAATTCTAGCTACTCAGAAGGCTGAGGTGGGAGGATCACTTCAGCACAGGAAATTGAGATCAGCCTGGGCAATACAGCGAGACTTCTTAAAAAAAAAAAAAGGAACATTTAAAAAGTGCTGTATGATTACTGTTTTGCCTAGTGGCATCAGAGAAGGTGGCATAGAGGCATGTAATTTGAACTTGAAGGATAAGTAGGAATTTTCTAGGCAGAGAAGTCAAGAAAAGTCTTTTAACACAGTGGCATGAAAATGGAGGCCCTGGCATATTTAAAATAAAGAGATGTCTGGTTTGGTTAGAATTGTGGGAGATAGCTGTGCTGGAAATACAGGTTGAAGTCAGATTGTAAAGGGTTGTTTTCTGACCTCTAGGCTTTCTCCTAAAGATGATAGGCTGTCATGGAACAGGTTTATTTTAAAGAGCATGTTTTTTTTTGAGACGGAGTCTCACTCTGTTGCCCAGGCTGAAGTTCACTGGCGCAATATTGGCTCACTGCAACCTCTCTGCCTCCTGCATTCAAACGATTCTCTTGCCTCAGCCTCCCGAGTAGCTGGGATTACAGGTGTGCCTCTTTCTGGGCTAATTTTTTTGTATTTTTAGTAGTGACAGTGTTTCACCATGTTGGCTAGGCTAGTCTTGAACTCCTGACCTCAAGTGATCCACCTACTTTAGCTTCTATTTTATATGTATTCTTGTAATAATGTGTGCTAGAGAAAAGAAAATGTTATTACAACCATAAGATAAAAAATATTTATCATTCAGTAATTGGAAGTGGATCCTCATAAAGGCCTTCATTGTCTTCATGTTGAATAGGCTGAAGAGGAAGAGTAGGAAGAGGAGGGGTTGGCTGCTGTCTCGGTACTGAAAATTCCAGTACCCGTATTTCTGTGGCAGGGGCAGAATAGGTGGAAAAGGTGGAAGGGGAGGCAGGAGAGGCAGGCACACTTGGTGTGACTTGTATTGAAAAAAATATGTGTGTATAGGTGGACCAACACAGTTAATCCCATGTTGTTAAGGCTCAACTACATCTAATTTGCCCTTACCAAATGACTTCAGTATGTGTTTACAAGTTCGTTCGTTCGTTCTTTTCTCTTCTCTTCTTTCTCTTCTCTTCTCTTCTCTTTCTTTTCTTTCTTTTTCTTTCCTTTCTTCTTTCCTTCCTTTGAGATGAAGTCTTGCTCGGTCTGTCGCCCAGACTTGAATGTAATGGCACGATCTTGGCCCGCTGCAACCTCCACTTCCTGGGTTCAATTGAGTCTCCTGTCTCAGCCTCCCAAGTAGCTGGGATTACAGGCATGCTCTACCATGCCTGGCTAATTTTTTTGTGTTTTCGTAGAGACGGGGTTTCACCATGTTGGCCAGGCTGGTCTTGAACTCCTGACCTCAAGTGAGCCACCGCGCCTGGCGTCTTTTGCCTCTTTTTTTTTTTTTGAGATG